GACTACTTAAATTAGATAACCAAAAGTTGTACATGTGGCTAGTTGTACTCTTGTAATACCAATGTAATATGTGGTCAAGTCTTTGAACATATAGCCTAACTGCTTGTACTAATAAATTGCCAATAGCCTAAGTAGTCACCTTAATATTAAAAAAAAAATAATAATAATAATTTTTTATAAGTTTTAAATATTTATAAATTATAAATAAAGTTTTTATATAAGTTTTAAATATTTATAAATTATAAACAAAGTTTTTATATAAGTTTTAAATAAACATAAGCTTTATATAAAATTTTTATATAAGTATTATATAATTATAAATTTTATATAAAATATTTTATATAACATTTATATAATAATAACTATATATATCTATATAAAATTCATATACTACTATTATATAATTTTTATATATAAATAAATTATATCTAAATTTTACATAAATTTTAAATAATTATAAATTCTATATTAAAATATTATATACAAAATTATATAACTATTACTATATATAACTATATACAATTTATTTATTTATTATATAAATATATACTTATTTAAACTTTATCAAGCTCTTTACATTGATCTTAACATATAGGTTAGAGAATTTGATAGTTTGCTAAATACTTGTTGCATTTTAAACATTTAAGAATATGTAGTAATAAGAATCATAACTTCATTTTTGATATTTATAAATATAAGATATGTTTAAAATTGGGTACGTATGCTGTTATCAAGGATGTTATTAGTTTGTTTGGTTCTATTCATTAATAGTTTTTATAATAATCAAATTAGGTAGCTGAATATACGTACATAATCTATGATATTTTCACAGCACCTACTAAAAAAGAAAAAATCAATAACCATAATGCTTTCCAAATCAGAAAAAAATATAGCGCACCAAAAAGTTGAACGCAACCATCCCTCCACATTTCATGTGAGAACATACTGGTATATACAAGCAGATCAAGCTGGTAACACCCTAGTTGTCATTAATATTAAGAATGACTTTCAATAAGAAAATCTAATAACTGATAGCCTTAAATATTTCAGCTGTTGATTAAGAATGTGAATAGAATATGTAAGTATGTGAGAGTAAATTAAAATGAACTAAAATAAATAAATAAATAAATAAATAAATAAAGTAAAAAATGGCAGAAAGTTAATATAGCCATAAGTAGCTGTGCGTATCAAACAAGACTGGATGTGCATAATTGGAAATAGAGTTTTAACCATTTGCAGTATTGCCGATGACCTGTTATAGATTAATGAAAGCTAATATGACTTTACGACTTTTAATATACATAGTAAGAATTATAGAAAATTTTTTTTTAAATAGCATTTAATATGAGCTATATAACCTATGTCCAAAAATCATAAAAAAAAAATATGATATGACTTAGGTCATTGCTAACACTGCCTATATGACTTATCTAGGTGAATCGTAAAAGTTATTCAATCTCTATATATAGAGATGTTGTATAAACTAATTATCAATCTCAATAAAGCAAAGGATCTAAAACTCTCAATTCCATTGCATACCAAGAATAATATAGCCTTAATAGCAACAATTCTATACATCCTGCTAAAACTTAAAATAAGCCTTTTTAAATTTGGTTTATCTCTAAGAACTTTATTTTATATAAGCAATTAAGGATTTTAGATTTCCTGCATTGTACTAATAAAAAATTAGCCAAATAGATGAAAGTTACTCATAGAAAAGATGAAGTACTTCAATAGATAAATGACTTACACTAAATCAACGCGAATAAAAAATAAATGAGAATTAATATAGACTAACAAATAGTTGGTATGCTTATGAAACTAAATGAAAGTTGAATTAACATTAATATCTCTATTGATAATTGTACTTATCTGCTAAATCGATACAGATTTGAATAAATTAAATTAAATTTGAATCAAATAAATAAAATTTAACAATTGTTATTCACTGTTTGCACAAATAAGAAATCTTACTTTAAATAGTTCAATTTATAAATAATCATTATGTTATCTATTAAAACAATGTGAATAAGAGAAAAGTAAAGCAATAAATAAAGTATATTGTTAACCTTTTATTGTAATTTTTGATTATAATAATAATAATAATAATAATAATAATAATAATAATAATAATAAGTTAGATATTGGACAAAAATAATCATAATAAATAAATATATCTTATTAATAGTACTTACAATTTTTTGAAATAAACAGATCTAAAAATTAGTATTTAAACTAAATGTTACTGTATAATATTTAATTCAATAGATTATCTTATATTTAAAAATAATAATAAATAAAAATGCAGCTAATAAAAACTGTTGCTAGTAAATTTTTGTTTAATTAGAAATAAAAATATTAACATAATATGAATTTATCGAATCAAATTGTGGCACAATATGAACTATATTGCTAATTAATTCTACTGGAACCATGTTGTAGATATTAGTTAATTATAAATAAGGGCATTCATACTTATAAAATTTTGAAGGGGTGTTTGGCAATTTAAAATCGTACTAATGAATAAGTGCAAGATCAAATGTCATAGTATCTTTTAATACAATACGAATTAATAATAATATCTAAAAAAATTAAATATTAAATTTGATTTAACTTAAAACATTTTAAAATATATAAAATTAATTAATTTAATATATACTTTTGCAAAGCAAAGTCTATCAAACATTTCAAATTCATCCTGTTCAGGATCCATATGTATAGAAACATTACTAAACATTGGTGCATTGTGAAAATTTTTTGTGGCCCTTACTCATTCCTTATTAGATAAAACAAAAGACTCATATAAAATAAAAGTTAATTCAGATTCTTTAATTTGTCTTTTAACTGTTGGCATGAGATCAAAATAATCATTCGTCATAGAAATAAGATTCTGTAACCCTTCAAGAATTTCAGAGATATAATCTTTTTTATATTTATATGATTTAATGAGTGGCTTTAAAAGGTGTAGTGATATATTACAATATTTTTTACCAAATTTTGCTGATTTTTTTTTAGATCTTCCATTATGTATGATGATATATTTATAAATATCTTTATGTATAAGCATTCGTGTTATCTAATAACATTGGTTAACATTAAAGCATATTAGTATAAAGTTATTTAAATAGAAATAATGTAAAATATAAAAAAACCTTTTGTAAAATTTGTGCGTTAATATTGCATTTGTTGAATATTTGATAGGGTGCTTTTATATACTATTTGTGAAGTGCTTCATATATTTCTATGCTCAATCCATTTAAATTTCCATACTCTTTAACAGTCTCAATCGTATGATGTATTCAATGATGAAATTTTGATAATTGACAATCATTTTTCAAATATGAACCAAGAATATCAACAAAATTTATTGCCCAATTTTGAATTAATATCTATAAAAATATTTATTAATACTAGTGATATTTTTCAAACTATTTAAGATAATACAAACAATTTGATAATTAGTTTTTATAATTTTTTTTAATTTTTTATTTTAATAAAATATAAGATAAATCTGATTAAACTAATTATCATATATTGAATTATCTTAAATAGTTTGAATAAATATTACTAGCAATAACTTGATAAGTTAATTATATATTATTATATTTATTTATATGAATTGAGATAAAATTACTAACCTCAAATTGTAAAGATCACTTTGTGTAAATTTATTTTGTCTTGATTGATAGTATATTTTATTCTAATTAACAAACATTTGAACAAGTATCTCAATTTTATTTTTTTTAAAAAGACCTTCAAGAACAAATGGCATAACTTTCATCATATGTCTATACTCAGATGCTGTAAACAAAGCAAGATCTGCAAGTCCTGTATTAAATATTTTTAACTCTAAATAGTGTGGTATTAATCCAAGTCTTAAATCTATTTTATTAACAAGAGCAACACCACCATGAAATTTCAAAAGATCTTGTGTAAATTTGACTATATATAAAAAAAGTCTAAGTGGTGCATTCGTTCAGAAATAGTTGCTGTATAAATATTAAAATTTCTATAGCAAAAAAATAAAATAAAATAAAATAAATGCAAGTATTACATGTTATTAATATATACTAAAAAGCCTAAACTTTATTATTAATACAGTCAACTCTCTTTAAACCGAATAGCAGGTTCTTATATGTAAAAATATTTAAAAGTTCAGTTTACAAAGAGTTATTATGTTGCTAATCCGAACTTAATAATAAATTTTACAAATGTTCTGAAGCTTTATGTTTAGTTTTCACAGAGTTTATTAAGTGTTCAGTTTATCTAGGTTCGGTTTAAAGAGAGTTGACTGTATATACTAATATAAACTTTAAACTTACAAATGATTCTAAAAACTGTTAGTTTCTTTATTGCAATTTATAATCTTTACCTTGACATAGTGCAATGATTTGTTGAATTTGATCCTCTGTTCAAATAATTTTGTAACTTGCAGGTAAATTAATAACATTTAATTTATCTTTTCTACAAGGCAGGTATGACAAAGGCATGTACAATTTGTTCTATTATAAGTTAAGCATGATTTACAATTTTCAGGCCAGTCTCCAATAATACTAGCTAGTACCATATTATATCTTAAATAATGATAATTAACTTTTAATAATATTCCAGAATTATACTGTAAACACAATGGTTCAATTAATTATTAATACATTTGTGAAAGGTTGTTCAAATCATTTTTCTAAATTGTGATGTTTATCGCTCTTCTTTAGTTCCTTGTAATATTGGCATTATGCCAACAAGTATCTTGGCTTCAGGTTTATTATGAAATTCTGCTAGAATATTACCCAAGCTAATATATATTGGATGTCTTGAGCTTTTCCTTAAACAGTCTAATAAAGTTGTATCAGAGTATAATATTATTGCTAAAATCTTATTATCAGATGGGATTTGTTGCTACACATGGCACCACCATTCACAATTATAAAATTCAGAATATACTCTTTTATGACATCCCTAAAAAATTGGGACAAGTAAATATTTAGGCAAACTTTTAAGTTATACATATAAATTTAAAACTTAAAATTTTAAAACTTGTATGATCATAATTAAAATCGGGAAATATGCATATAATTGTTATATTTTAAATCAGAACAATATTGTTATATTATAATAATGCATGTCGATATTATTTGCAGCAATTTTATCTATACATAGATTTATTTGAACAAATTTACTTGCCTCAACCGATACATAAATCTCCTGGTAATCAAAAACACAGTTTGTTGCGATCTCTTGATTTTTAAGAATTTCTTTAACTGCTGAAATTATTAGCTGGTATTCAAATGAATATGTTTGGTCTTTTATTTGTACAACAGGAGCTGAAAAAAATCCAGTATGACTTTTTTCAATGTATCCAAGAATTGAAGACCAACTTTTGTTAATTGAGGTAACATTTTCTTTGAAATATTGCCATGTTTTTGTATAAATTTCAATATAGCATCACAAACCTTATAAAAAAGCTGATATCGAATTACCTAATATTAAGAAAAAAAAATACTATTTTGGTACTTGAAAAAAATTTTTTTAATTTAAAGAAAAAAAAAAAAAAGCTAGAAATACATTATAAAAAGTAATTGTAATACTTACTATATTTATAAAATCTTTATATGCAGTATTTGGAAATTCTGCACTATTAGTATCACCAAGTTCACTATCATCACTATAAATTTCTTCACTAATATTATAATTTTCTAATATATTATTTTCAGACATTTGATTAGACTCACTATTTCCTTCAATTACTTGACAAGAGTTACTGTTTTTCTCAAATA